AAAATTTGTATTTTGATTTCTCATCAGATCTTCCATAAAGGATTGATCATTAAGATTGACCCAATTAAATAAGGTATTTTTCCTTTCTAATGACACCATATTAAATTCAAATTCAGTTTCTTCTTGCATAGATATACTAGTTTCTAAAAATACACTTCTTAAAAAAATCCAGTACTTCAACCCTTTGTTTCCAATGATAGGAATCAAACCCAAGGCATCAGGCATGCTGGTAATGCACTCTAATCTGCACCCAAATCCATGTTGTCCACAATATTTGCACAGCTAAATATTAATTAATACTTCTACCACATGTTTACTGACATGGGTTCTGGATGAATGCACTCTATCATTTGTCAAAGCATTACCAATCACAATCTCAACTCTTAGTATTATTATCCCTAGTAAAAATCGATAATGAACACATGAGCATGCTCAGAACTAACCTTGAAGTTTTCAGGATCCACGTGAAGCTTGTCACAGTGCAACTCACTGAGATGAGCAAAAGTCTCCTTGAGGTTGTCCATGTTCTTAACTGCCAAGCCTAGAGATGTCAGCACTTTCTTGCCATGGGCTCTGATCCGGGGGTTTCCCATGATGGCCAAGGGAGAAGAGAGGTTTCCAAATTTGTCAAAGAATCTCTGAGTCCATGGGTAAACAATCAGGAGCCTAAGACACAGAGCATTAGCAGTTAAAAAACAAGTGTGTGTCACAAACCCCTATAGGAAGCCTGGAAATTTCTCCCATGCACAATTTCCCTCCATCCCTCCCCAGTCCCGGTCTCAGGCCTTACCTTCCCAGGGTTTCTCCTCCAACCTTTTCCAAGTCCACTTTATCCCAGATGCTTGTGATAGCTGCCTTCTCCTCAGCTGTGAATTGAACCATGGTGTGAGGTCTAGAAGCTTGGAGGTGATCTCAGGTATGCAGGAGCAAGTGTGTTCAAGAGGCTGAAGAAGGTCTGTCCTTTTATTCTTCATCCTGGACCTTGCCTCCCTCCCCCCCCCCTCAGGACTCTGAGGCTATTGGTCAAGAGAGGAAGGGCAAGACAGGGGTGGGGTCCAGTGGGGTAAGGTTTAGATAGCATTTCCACTAAGATAATGTCAGGTAGGCCCCCTGCCTTGAGGAGGGAGACCCTCCTGCTGCAGTTTTCACAGAATTTACTCTTTCTTCCTTCTTTCCTTTCTGTTTAGCCCCTTCTGCCAACAAAAGATTTGCAAGAGTATCTTTCAAATTCTTTCCTTTTTGTTTCAGACTTACATTGATGAGTAGGTTAAAGTTAAAGGATAGATAAATATGGGAAAGCCCCAGGAAGTCTGAGGTTCTTTTTAGGAATGGGGCTAAGGACTTTTAAATAACAGAAATATGCCTGTTACTCACAAACCATTAATGACAAAAAAAAGTGGTGTGCAAACCATTGAAAGCATTTTCTGTAGGTTTTGGCCATGATATTCTTAGTTCCCACAGCTCCGGGAAAGCAATTCCTAAGACATTTTAGTTTCTAAGGTAAAATTACTGTGTTGAAGTACAGCATGTCTCCACCTTGACCTCCATCATTCACTAAAATAGAGCAGTCTGCTCTGTGTACATAATACCATTTTCCACCTCGTGAATACACTGTGTTGTCGCCATGCAATTGGCAGCCCCTCCCCAACAGGATAAGTGTAGCTGCCTGGTGAAAAGAGTGTTGGTTTAGCCTTCTCTATGCTCATGACTGGTTAAATATTGAGAATGCTGAATGATCAATCTTTCAGGTTTCTTCAACCAAGCTGTTTTCACTTTTTGTGTGTTTGTAACCTAACTCTGAAGGGACAGCAGATGTTTCCATGCAGTAAGATCTACCTGCACAATTGCAGCTAGGACAGAATTATACATTAGGAAGTTCACTCCTAGCAGTGACTTAGTACTGATACCTTTTAAGGTTTTAGAGCTTTTTTTTAATGTAGTGGTGAATAGAGATTTTTATTTGTGTAGTGGTAAAGAACCCACAATGTCAGCAAAAACCAGCTATGGTCTTTCTTTCTTTTTTTTCTCTTTTATTTTACTGATAAATTTAATCTTTTTTTATAGTTCAGTCATTATCCCCATCCTGGTCTGCCCTCTGACAGTTCCTCATCCCATACTTCCTCCCCCGTCTCCAAGAAGATGCCCCCTCCCACCCAACCAGATGTCTGCACCCCGTGGGGCCTCAAGTTTCTCCAGAGTTAGGTACATCTTCTCTCACTGAGATCAGACAAGGTAGTCCTCTACTGTATACATGTTGGGGGCCTCATATCAGCTGTTTTATGCTGTCTGGTTGGTGGCTCAGTATCTGAGAGATCTCAGGGGTCTAGGTAGTTGGGATTGCTGGTCTTCCTATGGGGTTGCCCTCCTTCTCAGCTTACTCCATCCAGCTTTTCCCTAATTGAACCGGAAGGGTCTCCAACTTCTGTTCATTGTTTGGGTGTAACTATCTACATCTGAGACTTTCAGCTGCTTGTTGGACCTCTCAGAGGGCAATCATGATAGGCTCCTGTTTGTAAGCACACCATAGCATCAGTAATAGTGTCAGGCCTTGGAACCTCCCCTTGAGCTGGATCCCAATTTAGGCTTGTCACTGGACCTCCTTTCCCTCAGTCTCTTCTCCACTTTTGTCCCTGCAGTTCTTTTAGACAAGAACAATTCTAGGACAGAGTTTTTTACTGTGGGATGGCAACCTCATCCCTCCACTTGATGCCCTGTCTTTCTGCTGGAAGTAGACTCTACAAGTTCTCTCTCCCCACCCACTGTAGGGTATTTCATCTAAGGTCCCTCCCTTTGAGTCCTAAGAGTCTCTCACTTCCTAGGTCTCTGGTATATTCCAGAGCCATGATTTTTTAAATGGAAGTCATCTGTGAGATAGCAAATGTGTACATACATATTCCTTTAGCTTCTATTTCCATGGTTTAATCTTGGAGGATACTTGGAAATCCTGAGTTTAAGCTTCCACATATCTTAATGAGCAAGCTTCAGTTGCTCTTCAGCAGACTCTAGGGACAATTTCCTATAAAGTTTTATTAATTAGTTCATGTCTATCAGTAAACCCCCCCCCATATTCCCCATATCATGTTAATCTAGAATCTGTGGTTGCATCTCTTAGCTTTCATTCCTCCTTGAGACAAGGAATACCTTCACAAAACAATCCTGCAGTGGTGGTTTCATTGAAACCTTTTCTTAAATACTCACTGCTTTCTATCAACCTGTCGATTTTCTTACATGAGTCCCAGAGGACACCTGATAAAGTATCTGCTAGAGAATGTTTGTTTAGAGTGAGAGAGATGATGACTCAGTGTTTAAGAGCAAATACTTCCCTCAGAGGACCTGAGTTCAGTTCTCAGCATCCATAGCTCACAACCATCTGTAACTCCAATTTTAGTGGAACCTGACGTCCAGAGACTCCTGTACTCACATGCACAAACCCAAACACAGACACAGAGACACTTGATTAAAAAAAAATAAGTCATTTTTTTAGTCAGCTGCTGGGTAGAGCTTCTAAGAGGACAGTAATGCTAGGCTCTTGTCTGCAAGCATAATAGTGTAGGGTCAAGGATTAGTGCTTGCCCATGGGATGGGTCTAAAATTGGTCCTGTTATTGGTGGACCATTCCTTCAATTCCTGCTCCTTCCTTGTCCCTGCATTTCTTGTAAACAGGACAAATTTGAGGTCAAAAGTTTTGTGTATGGGTTGATGCCCTTATCCCTCCACTGGGGGTCCAGCCTGGCTGCAGGAAGTGGCCTCTTCAGGTTCCATACCCTCACTGCTATGAGTTTCAGCTAAGATCATCCCCATGGACTCCTTAGGAGCCTCCCTCATCCCAGGTCTCTGGCACATCCTAATAATGCCCCTCACACCCCCTCTGTCCTGTCTCTCCCCACACCTAATCCTGAACAGCACCCCTCTATTCCCCTCCCTGAAACAACTTCAGAGACCCATAGACAAACACTGAATGTAGCTTGGGGACTTTTATGTAAGAGTTGGGGGAAGGACTGAGGGCCACTGAGGAGATAGGAACTCCACAGAAAGACCAACAGAATCAACTAACCTGGACTGTAGAGGGATCTTGTGGTAGACTGTACCACCAATCTAAGAGCATACACAGGCTGCACCTAGGTCCCAGAACATATGTAGCAGATGAGTAGCTCAGCCCTCATGTGGGCCCCCCAACAACTGGAGGGGGTAAGCCTGTCTGTCTCTAAAGCTGTGTTGACTGTCTGCGGAATCCGTTCCCCTAAGTGGGAGGCCTTGTCTATCCTCAGTGGGAAAGGATGTGCCTAGCCAGGCAGAGAGTTAATGTGCTAGGGGTGGGGGATACCCTAGGGGAGATCAACTCTTTCAGAGGAGAAAGGGAGGGGGATATGGGAAGAGACAGTTTAAGGGGGAATGGGGGAGGGGATAACAATGGAGATGTAAAGTGAATAAATTAATTAGTGGGAAAAAAGAAAACAAAAAAGTAAAGAATCATAATAAAAGTAATTTTTTTTAAATAAAAAAACCTAGTACATTAAACTGATTATCTCAGGTTTCACACTAGATCTGTCTAAAGCTTTATCTTAATTAAATGACACATATCATAGACTGCAGATCATTTGTGATGCTTTTCTTCACTCTGTATACTAACTTTCAGTGACTGCCACACAATTTCTTCTCCAGAGAATTAACCCTTTGCTTTCCTACATGAGAATTCTCCCCAACTTTTCATTTTTCCTGGGGCCCTAGAAAAATTCTATAACATCTCCATTCCTCTCCTGACTTCTGACACAGTTTTCAAAGAAACTCGGGTGTCCTGTGTCTCTCCCCTACACATCTGCCTATCACCCTTCTTTCTTTAAACACAAAAGTAAGAAATAGACACAACAAAATATGACTCATGGATTACTGAAGAAAATGGACTTTATTAAGCAGAAGCTCTGCTTTCAGAGAACAGCAGAGTGGTCATGTGTAAGACAGAACTGAAGGGCATGCAGAATGGTGGACATCAGGGAAGGAGCTCAGTGGTACTTGTGGGACAGAGCAGTGGCCACCCCAGCCATCAGCTTCTGCCAGGCAGCCTGCACCTCAGCGGTGAATTCCTTCCCAAAGTAAGAAGAAAGAACAATCACCAGCATGTTACCCAGGAGCTGTGAAAGGAAACACAAAAAAATACACAAAAATGAGTAAAGGAGATACAGAAAAGAATTTACAGGAAAAATAGTATTTGTAAGTTATCTTCCTTGAGGACTCCCCAGCAACCTATCCACTCTAATGAGGAGGTTGGTTCAATCTCATTGTTCAAGGGTGCTTCTTGCCCCCATTCAGTCCTCTCCTGCTTGTTCCTTACATTTCCTCAGTCTGTCATTTTTATCCCTTGCCCTTTTTCTCATTCACTAATGGCCAGGCTTCTCTAAATGCAGAATTACAGTGCAACCATGTGTTTATTGGAGTTTAAGTCTCCAATAATGAAGGAAACAGGTACTACTTATGATATTACTTGTAGAATTGTAACATTTTTTAGGAGGTTTATCAAACCAAAGAGAAAAATCTGTCAAACTTTCTCTGATACAGTTCCTGAAGTGTCATAGAATCCATAAAAATAAGGTATTTCTCCTTCCCTAGAACAAAATATCCATTTCAAGGGCTAGTCTACTTACATGTATGTGCTACCTTCTAAAATAAACACAAAGTGAGGAGGATTCTATCACCAACTCTAAAAGTTTGCTCCTTTGTGTCTTTTTCGTACTAGTACTCCAGTCTCAGGATTCATAAATCATAGAGAAGCATCATATCAACTGAGTTACATACCTAGACACCAAAGGTGTGTCTGAAAAACTATTCTAAACAGTTGCAAATTTATTGGAGACGCTTCTAGCAATTAATTGACACGAGATCTACACCAGCATATTTTGAGATCTGGCCCACTATAACAAACCAAGGTATTAACTTTTATTCTTTTCCCCATGTCAAATTTAAATAGAAAGCATGAGCATGCTCAGAACTGACCTTGAAGTTCTCAGGATCCACGTGAAGCTTGTCACAGTGCAACTCACTGAGATGAGCAAAGGTCTCCTTGAGGTTGTCCATGTTCTTAACTGCCAAGCCTAGAGATGTCAGTACTTTCTTGCCATGGGCTCTGATCCGGGGGTTTCCCATGATGGCCAAAGGAGAAGAGAGGTTTCCAAATTTGTCAAAGAATCTCTGAGTCCATGGGTAAACAATCAGGAGCCTAAGACACAGGGCATTAGCAGTTAAAAAACAAGTGTGTGTCACAAACCCCTATAGGAAGCCTGGAAATTTCTTCCATACACAATTTCCCTCCATTCCTGCCCAGTCCTGGTCTCAGGCCTTACCTTCCCAGGGTTTCTCCTCCAACCTTTTCCAAGTCCACTTTATCCCAGATGCTTGTGATAGCTGCCTTCTCCTCAGCTGTGAAGTGAACCATGGTGTGAGGTCTAGAAGCTTGAAGGTGATCTCAGGTATGCAGGAGCAAGTGTGTTCAAGAGGCTGAAGAAGGTCTGTCCTTTTATTCTTCACCCTGGACCTTGCCTCCCTTCCCCCTCCTCAGGACTCTGAGGCTATTGGTCAAGAGAGGTTGGACAAGATAGGGGTGGGGTCCAGTGGGGTAAGGTTTAGATAGCATTTCCACTAAGATAGTGTCAGGTAGGCCCCCTGCCTTGGGGAAAGAGACCCTCTTGCTGAAGTTTTCACAGAATTTATTCTTTCTTTATTTCTTCCCTTCTTTTTGGTCCCTTCTCCCAACAGGAGATTTGCAAAGGTATTGTTCACATTCTTTCCTCTTTTGTTTCAGACTTAGAGGGACTAATAGATTTAAGCTGAAGAGTAGGTAAACATGGAGGAGGTCTCAGTGAGTCCGAGGCTCTTTTTAGGCATGGGACTTAGGACTTAAGTGACAGAAATATGCCTCTTACTCAACCAAAGTATTTTCAGTAGGTTTAAGCCATGATCTTCCTAGTTCCCATCAGCTCTGGGAAAGCAGTTCTTTATTACATTGCAATTTCTGAGGAGCAATAAATTACTGTGTATAGTAGAACATGTCTCTGCATTTGTCTCCATTATTCTTGTATAAACTTTATAGAATATAGATTACATAGAGAAATCTACTGTATGTAACAATGGCATTTTCCACCATATGAATACACTGTATAGTCAGTCACCAAGTATTGTTGATTCCACTCAATAAGTGTAGCAGGGTGTGGGTTTAGCCTTCTCTGTGCCAATGTTAGATTATGTACCAAAAATGCTGAATGACTGATCTGTCAGTTTGCTTCAACCAGGCTCTGTCTTCACTGTTTTGCATTTTTTTAGAATAACTCAGAACTGGCAGAAATGGTTCCATTCAGTACACAAGTACTGTCACAGCCAAAATAGAATTATACATTAGGAAAATTGTCCCTAGTTTTGATTTTCTAGTAACAACTCTAACAATTTCTTTGATCTTTCTGTATAGTGGTGTGTCAGTACAGAAAATAAAATCTGAGAAAGTCAGCTATATATTGAACATAAGACTTTGTGAGATAGTAGTAATGTATTCAGATCTACCAACATTGCCACCTGAACTCTAGGTCTAGGGGAAAACAATAGCTCTGGTCCCCAGTAGCATCTCCTTTCACATACACAAGCATAAATACAGATATACACACAGACTCATAAAACTTAAAACAATAAAATTTTTAAAACTTTTTTTGAAATTATAATATAGTTACAATACATCTCCCTTTTCTTTTCTCCCTCCAAACCCTTCTATATACCCTCCTTGCTCCCTTTTGTCATTGTAATTGAACATATATATATATACATATACATATGTATATATACATATATAATTTGTGTGTATGTATGTATGTATGTATGTATGTATAAATTGTAGTCTTCTCCTCTCATGCAGAACATTCTTTGCAACAGATGAACTTTGGAACTACAAAAATCCACGACCATTCAAGCTTCAGAGTTGTGGAGCCCAGCCCCAAGTGGTTACATCAACAAAACACTGAAGTGTTTCAGGGAACACTTCAGAAGGGCAAAAGCTTGTAAGAGCCAAAAGACCAGAAAGTTTGCTGTGATACACATTTGCTAAAATGGGTGGGGGAAAGCCCATGAGATCTTAACCATACACAAAGGATTACAGGCAACTAAGGGATGCTGAGAGCTGGAGCAGGAGTCTTCCCCAGGGAAGAGCACACCAATTGGTTGTTCAATAAATACTTTTTAGAAGAAAATATATGTTGAATAATTTAAAACAATAATTCCATCTTAGATCTTGAATCTTGTGAAAGCTTTTTCTTAATGGTAATGGGATGTAACAACCTGCTGCAAGATATCTCGTGTCACCCTTTTTTTGACCCTCTACAATAAATTTTCATATGTTCCATATAGAATTTGTTCTCCACTAAATTTCTTTCTTCTCTTTGAGAATTCTTTCCTAGCTTTAGACTCTCCCTGGGCCTGTAGAAGCCTTCCATGGCATCTACATTTTTCTCTTGAGTCTCTGCAGGTTTCAGAGAAATGCCTGTGTATTCCTGTGCTTCCCCTCTTCCACAAACATATTAAATATGTCTTTTTGGCATAAAAGTAGAAAACAGACAAGACAAAATGAGTTTTTGATTCCCAGGAAGAGTGATCTTTATTAAACATTCTATGCTTTCAAAGACCAGTCCAGTACTCATGTGCAGGAAGAAGGTATAAGGGACACACAGGATTACTGGACAGCTAGGTAGAGGGCTCAGTGGTACTTGTGGGACAGACCAGTGGCCACCGCAGCCACCAGCTTCTGCCAAGCAGCCTGCACCTCAGCCGTGAATTCGTTGCCAAAGTGACTAGCCAAAACAATCACCAGCACATTACCCAAGAGCTGTTGACAGAAAAACAAAAGAGATTTGGTATGTTAAACTAAGATTCTAAAAATAATATGCATTAAAAAACAAATAAATATTTTGAACCTATACTCTAACACATTCAGCATCAAAGTTCCCTCAACCATCTCTGATGAGCATAGGTTCCATTTCTCTATTGTACTTCTCTCTTCCCACTTCCCACTGTCCTGCCTGATTTCTCACACCTATTCCCATCATATTTATTGGCCCCGTCTTGTTACTTTTCTTATTCTCCAGTTGTATAATGTCTGTAAATACAGAATTTCTGTGCTACAAATGTTCTTGATGAAGTTTTAAAAGTCCACAAATGTAGGAACAAGCCTCCATTTGCCATGATATTCACTTGGGAATGTAATATAATTTTATAATGTTGATTGAGAAATTCCACCTTTAAGTTGTCTCTCAAATCTTTTCTTCAGCATCAATCAATAGGACCCACAGAAAGTTAAGATATGTTTCCTCTCCCAATTCTATTTCTTCTTGCACAGATCTGCTGTTCTTTCACATTACTCTCCGCGATAAGTCCAACAAAATTCTATCATGACAAAATTTTCTAAATGCCTGTAAACTTAAAATTTTGGCTTTTTACAGCCATTCCCTGTCACCCTACCTAAACCAATGAGCTTTGACAGCTAAGCAAGCACCCCCACACTCGTATTCTCAGCTTCTAATTTTGTCCCCAAGACAAATCCAAAATAAATATATGGGACTGCCCTAGACTCACTTTGAAGTTCTCGGGATCCACATGTAGCTTGTCACAGTGCAGTTCACTGAGCTTGGCCAAGGCAGACTTGAGGTTGTCTAGGTTTTTAATGGACTCTCCAAAAGCAGTCAGCACCTTCTTGCCATGGGCTTTGACTCTCGGGTTGCCCATTATGGCAGAGGCAGAAGACAAGTTCCCAAAGCTGTCAAAGAATCTCTGGGTCCATGGGTACACAACAAGAAGCCTGTGACGTGGACAAAAACAAGTAGAAAAAGCGCAGATCCTTAGAATTCTTGACTTTCCTAGCTTGTTGCCCAAGGGGCTATTCACCCTTCTCCCAGAAGCATCAACAGCCAATTCTTACCTTCCCAAGGCTTCACCACCAACTTCTTCAACGTTCACCTTACTCCATAGGCCATTGATGAGGGTCTTTTCCTCAGCAGTAAAGTTCACCATGATGGTAAGTCTGGGAGGTTGCTGGTGATCACAGGAGTGTCAGAAGCAAGTGCATGCTGCTGCTAGAAACAGTGGCCTTTTATGCTTCACAGACAATGTTCTGACCCTTTGTTCTCCATTTTTCTTTGAAGCCATTGGTCAGTTTAACCCGTGGTCCTCATGGGTGGAGCCAGGTCATGGGAGGGTCAGCAGAAACTGTCCACTGTGTTTATGATAATACACATTAGATATGGAGGCATTCTTTCTTTTTTGGTTTCTCCTTCAACAAAACTGGTTTTGTTTCACTTATTCTCTTTTCATTCTCTACTCTCCCCATATAAGTGTCCAGTATAATGCTCATCTCTCTCATCACATTTTCCAACAAAGGCACAGAGAAAGTAGCTTATCCCACTGTAGGAAAAAGTTTCCAGTCTAAAATAACTTTAACATTTAGGCAAAGAATTGCTACAACAATAAGAACAAACTTAAGAAAAAAAGAGTTTGTGCTGTGGACACAGAAGTGCCAATGTTATACCTGTTTCTTCTTTTCTTGGGATATTTGATTTATAACTATATCTCCTAGATATATGTTGCCCCAAGTAGACAAGAATCATACATGGTTGAATCTATCAGATGAATACAGTAGCAAAGGATTGACAATGGGTTCAAAGACTCAATTCCAAAATATGACCACAGGGAGTGGCATTGTAGAAAAGATGGATATAACAAGTTCACATTCTGTGCTTCTAGAGAGTCCTCTGACCAACCCTCTGTGGACCTTGGCTCCATTGGTAATATTGCTCTGATCTCTGTCCTTGCTTATTTTTATATAGGTATTTCTCATCTGTGAGATGGAACTGAAATAACTGTAAACTCAGCCTTGTGGTCCAACTCAGGAATGAGTGAGTTGATTCATCAATAACCTTGAGAAACACTTGTGGATAGTCAGTGTTTATTCTAGCTAAAGGATGGCTAGTGTGCTTGATTTCTACTCTTTTCTTGGAATTATTAGCTATCTCTTACATATTGTACCTGAAATTAAAAGCCTACATTTGTATGCGTTTAACTGCATCCATGTGCATGAAGGATAGTTTTACACCATCCTGTCTAATTTGCATCTAGCAAGACAGTTATCATTATCCACCTTTTATTTAAATGAAGGAAAAAAGTTACAAAAGTGATATAACTGTAAGGTGAGAGAACTGTTGACAAAAGCAGGAAGGATCCAGATTTATTCTCAGTTTGTCTTTCCTATCTACAGGAAAGTTCTTCTCCATCTTGCCTCTGGCCAGTTCTTCATGCATTTCTTTACTGCCTCTACCACTCCCTGTGCTCCTAACAACTCTAAGAATTTCTCTTCCAACACTTTCATTTTGTTTAGTTTAGTTCTGTTTTATTTTTTTAAGTTTGTTT